GTAGTCTGATCTCTTCAACTCAATTAATAGCAAAGTTATTAATTAAAAAAATGCCAAATTTGAAGATACAGAGTTAATTGGGTTGGGTTGTATTTATATAAAAAAACATAATTGCTATATTACAAATGTTAAATAAATGAAATTGGTCATAGATATTCGTTGAATAATGATTATTAATTAGAGCCTAAGATCACGCTTTTATTGCAATTAGCAACAAAGATATGAATTTTTTAAAATCAAGTGTACTAAATTTCTTATAAGTTTGGATTGAGTGAGGTTTATTACAAAAATCATGTTGCCTATATTATGCCTATATTATGTTGCCTATATATATATAATGCAATGATTAATAAGTCATTTTTTCTGAAAAATTCAGAAATCAACTCAAGAGACATAAAACATCACAATGTTTTATGTATAAACATCCAAGGTATTGAGAAAAAGATAGATAGCTTAGAAATTGTATTACAACATGAAAATGAAAACATTTATGTGTAAGTGAACATTGGTTAAGAAAAGATAAACTTAATCTACTAGCCAATTTTATTCCTTTTATATGTGAACGATCTTCCGGAAATTCTGAACATGTGTAAGACGATAATGTATGCAGATGACACAACATTGATAAAAATATCTAGTACAGTTGAAGAGCTACACGCAAACGAAGGTCTCAGTCAAAAGGTGGCATCAGTTTAAAACGAACAAACTTAAGCTGAATGAAAGTAAGACACAAAAAATTGATTTTAGTACTAAAACAAATAATAACGTCTCGGCAGTTAAGTTACTGGGGCGCACCCAAAAACTGGTGCAGGTTATACAGGGAAAGAAAGACACGACAAAGTTTACTATTAAATATTCACAAGAATTGTTCATGTGTATTGGCCAATGTGCCCAACACTTAGAAGATTATTTGAAGGATTTACAAAATTCTAAACAGCCAATACAAATTAGTGGCAACATATTATTATAAACTGAAGAGTGACAATTTCTATCCAAAAGTCCACATCTTAAACAATCACCTTCTGGAGAAGCTTCCATCATAAAATACGTGTTTATATTGTGTTCTCTTAAGAACACAAGCGATAAGGACATGAAGCCGGATGAAAAGATAAAGTTGGATAAACCGCTACACTGCTTCAACTTCGGTGAAAAAGGACACAAATCGCAGAAATGCAAGGATAAACCAACAGGCATGAAATGTATCTCACCACAACCATCGTAATAAGATGTTTAAGACAATCAGCATAGTTGGAACTTGTACAGCAGCTTTAATAGACATAGGTAGCATGATTAACCTTATCAGAAGTGATGAATATTTTACAATTGGTGTACCAAAGATCACCATGCAGACGATAAAATCAAAAGAATTAAGCCAAGGAGAAGTGGTAAGATTAAGTTCATTCGAGTCCCACATTGAGGTTGATGTTGAAGTTCTACAACACAAAAATACACGTGGTAAACAAAGAAGCTATGCCCGTAAGTTGTTTATTTAGAGATGTCTTATTGAAGCAAGCTCACGGTTACCCCAGAAGCAGTAAAGATTTGAGAGTGTATGGAACAAGACTTTGCTTGGAAGGATAAGTATTGTACAAAAAAAGTATTTGTGTAACACAAACGTCAAAATGGTCAATTAAGGCAGACTATTCAAAAAATGATCGAAGAGTATAAGCCGAGCGCGGTGAAAACGACTGGTGTAGAAACAGAAAAAATAGAACGAAAGATGAAACTCCAATACACCATACCCCGAAGAGCATGAATGAAGTTGAGAAACACGTGTTGGAGTGGCTAGACAAAGGAATCATTAGGAAAAGCAATTCTGAGTAATTCTTTACCAGTTGAAAAATGCAAAAGTATTCAGCGTACTGGACTTAAAAGACAGATTTTTCCACGTTCCAGTGGCAGGATCCAGTAAAAAGTACACGTCCTTTGTAACGCATAACGGGCAATTTGAATTTGTGCGGGGTACGTTTGGTTTCTGCAATTCCCAATCAATTTTCCAAAAATATGTCAATAGCGTTTTTCAAACTCATATACGCAATGGAATAGTAATAACCTATATAGACGACTTAGTAATATCTTCTGAAGATATGATGATGGAATAAAGAAGTTAAAGCAAATGTTGACTACATCCTCAAAATATGGATTGGAAATCAACTGGGAGAAATGCCACTTCCTATAAAAAAAGATTGAATACCTTGGTCACGAAATAGAAAATGGAGGATTCAGGGCTACACCGAATAAGTTGAAAGCTGCAATTAATTTCAATTGACAATGTAAAACAATTACAATCATCCCTCGCTTTATAGCAGGGACTAAGAACGGAACGAAAACGAGAACGAAAGAACGAAATTAACCGAATAATTTATAAGAACGAAAACGGAAACGAAAACGAAATTTTTATTTTTCGTTCATGATTGAAAACGAAATAAATAATTTCGGTTACCGGTTTTAACCGGTTTAATGACACAATATTTTTGTAACCTACTCCTAGTAGACATATCGGGGATGCAATGGTCTTCTATTCTATATCTTCTATATATATATTTTTACTATAAAATAAATATGTTAACAATTTCTTTCTCTTATTTTTAATAATAATAATAACTTTATTTACAAATAACCAAAAATTAACCATGACACCAAATTTTTAAATAAGTAAAAGTTAATTGAAATAAAGCAAGATCAGAGAGAAAAGTAACAAATATTATTATTTAAAATATGAAGCAAATAAAACAAAAAAAATCTGTCACTGGCATACCACTAAACTGCATAGCAGTTTGTGCGTGGTTTTCAAGTAACTAAATTTAATGGGAATAAATGAAAGAAACTAAAACAGATTCGTGTCTCTCCAATACAGAAACGGTCCCAAACAATTCATTCTAAATTTTATTTCTAATATTTATAAAAAGCAAAAATGCCATCACCACTTAAAATGCAGTTGATTGAAATTTTTAACATTTAAGTTTTTAAAAGCATACATTTTATGTTAGTAATTTTTGCCAGCTATGATTAAAATTATGACAAGTGACTTATTTGTCAAATATAAAAAAAAATTAAAAAAAGCATGTTAGCATACTTTTATTAGAAAAATAGTAAAAAACCGGTTTTAACCCTTATTTCATTTCGGTTCACGAAAACGAAAACGATATTTTTTGGGTGTAAACGAAAAGAACGAAAACGAAATTTTTCGTTTTCGTTCTGATCGGAAACGAACAAAATACTTTTCGTTTTTAGTCCCTGCTTTATAGGGATAATTTAGAAAGTTCGTGAAAGACTATTCCATCATAGCAAAGCCGCTGCACAGACTATTTATGAAAGATTTACCATTTGAAGTGGGCAAAGCAGAACGTAAGGCATTTCAAAAGCTAAAGTTGTCATTATCGAATGCAACGGTGTTAAAGATTTTCCAACAAGATGCTGAAACTCAAGTTCACACTGACGCCAGTAAGTATGGAATTGCTGCTATACTCATGTAAAGAAGTTCAGATGATCTGTATACTACTAGAGTCGTAGAACATCTGTGGCGGAACAAAACTACCGCAGCTACTAATTAGAAGTTCACGCTATTATCGATGGTCTGGAAAAGTTTAGAGTTTATTTGCAAGGGAATTCATTCAAGATCGTAACCGATTGTGCAGCTTTCAAAAAACTAACTAGTTTTTAGTAAGAGTTAATTCGAAGAGTTAACTTTTAGTAACTAGTTTTAGTGAGTAAGAAGGAATTGAGTACAAGAATTGCTCGATGGGTGCTGAGTCTAGAAGATTTTGACTACTCTACAATACACCGACCTGGTTCTAATATGAAGCATGATTATAGAAGACGGATTAATATTGCGAATACACAACACCAGTCTTCAGACAACGACAGTCTTCAGTCTGCTAAGTAAAAGCGATTATTACAAATTATGTTATTGACTGTGCACTTTTATATAAAAATGTAGACGGATCTAATTTGATAGTGATACCGAAGATTTTACAAGGGGAGATCATCAGAAAATTACACGGAAATGATGATTTTGGAGTTTGGAAAACAAAGGAGATGATTAAGAAAGTAGGATTCGGATTTAGGAAAAAGGACAGGGAAAGACATCAACTACTGCGGATTCTATAAAACCCTGGAAGCAGGTTCATGGATTTGATGTTTTGAACAGCGATTCATCCGAGACAGGAGGGCCGAATAGTAAGATGTCCGTCAATAGGAATAGGCTAGTTAAAAAAAAGGAGATACTAAAAAAAACAATTTTTGTTAGAGTGTTAAAAAAACGTATTGTAGAATTATTCTGCCAAAATCAAAAATTTACTATATTTTGTTGAACTTGTTGTGTGTTGACGTACATTAAAAATTGTTACAAAAAACAAGCCGTAATTCGATTATTATCCCACTTATATTATTATATAAGTATGATTAGGTATTCATATATTTTATGAATTAAGTTCGTTGCATTCATGAATATCGTTAATTGATAACATGTAGAAGTTTTGGTACAATAAACCTGTACATAGTGGAAATGTATTGGTTCAATTAAGTTTGTTTATGAAAATCAATTACAGGTGTTCATAGATACAACAAACTTTACGTTGGTCAATGAACCAGAACATTATTTAATGTACAAATATTCATAACCCGACTGTTTCTAGTTCTATGTGTTAGTTCTAGTTGTTATTCAGCGCCACTTTATTGAACTAAAAGTAGAACTAACACTAAACCTATAAACCCTAATATTTCTAGTTGTTAGTCTAGTGTTAGTTTTAGTGATTAGGTGGCGTTGAATAACAACTAAAAGTAGAACTAACTCTACTTTTAGTTGTTATTCAACGCCAGTTTATTGTATATTTATATTGAACTAAAAGTAAAACTAACACTAAACCTAGAACTAGAAACATTCGGGTTTAACCGTCTTGAGAGACGCTCGGATAAATCTGTATATTTCTAGTTCTAGGTGTAGTGTTAGTTCTAGTGCTAGTGTTATAATGATTTTCCACTTCTTTTTTAGTACTTACGGTGTATGTCTAATTTCCATCCATCTTCTTTTCCACTGTCAGGAATAGATTCAACTTGTCCTCTGCATGAAAGATATTTTCCGCCATCGTCAACTGTAGGAGTGTAGGTCAGCACGCTTGTCGTGGTGTTATTATCCGGACTGATCTGCAAAATAAAATAATAATTTTTATTCCAATATCGTAAAGAAAATTTTGTTTTTAAGGAAGAATATGAGTTGTAAACATTATGATAGTACGATATATACGAATAGTAAGATTCTACAACGAAAGCCATCCGGGAGTAAACATATTTCCTTCGCAGTTATTGTTGGCGCGATTGCGTCATTTCGAATACCGAGGGAATCGGTTAGTTTCGAGCACGTACTGGATATTTTCAGGGAAAATGGTATTTCATACTTCCGTAGATTCTTTCCTGATGGGCTGGAGTAAACTAGTTCTAGGCACAATGTGAGGAGACGATCTCCTGCCTCTAATAACAATAGGAGCAACGTTTCCGCCGCACAAGTTAATCGGTTCTTTCTCGATTTAGCAGACGGCTCCGAGTTGATCACAGATTTTATTTGCGATATTGGATATTGAAGTCGAATACCCGCGAAAAGCTATATCCGATTCGTTTTGTTTCCTTTTACAAAACTCGAAAGAACGACATGAAGACGGTGCCACACCCCGGTTTCCTCATTTCCTTCAATTGCGGGTCCATCTCGAGCCGCTAAAAAGTTTCACCCCTTATTGTGTTAAAACGCTATCTGAGCGCGTGATGGAAATTCTTGCGCCGCTGTTTTCGTTCCATCCACATAAACTAATTCGGGCTTTGTGTTTGAATTAGCTAGGGCACGTTGCGGGAAGGGCGTTCCCTTGGAAAATTGCTCCATGCAGCTTCAACTGACGCTAGCGGTCCAAAATTTAATTTCTCCGTTCGGATTAAGGCTACGCACCAAAATGTACATTTGTGTACAAATATTGAGCGGAATGATGTTTGTAATTAACGAAATTGCATGTATAAACGTAATCAGTTAACATTTTAAAAAAAGAAATAGATTTACAGGAATTTAGAGAAAGAAATTCATATTTACTAAATGTGGATAAAAAATATATTTATATACACATTATGATCCACTAACTGACGTCGTGCCTGAGGTCACAGGGTTTACCGAAACATTGTGCTTTTGATTTTGATAAAAAAAAAGTAACTTCATTTATAATATCGACCAAAAAATTTCAACATCTGCAATACAAAATTCGAATATATATTCTAGTATATATTCTAAAATTCCTATCCAGTTATATTTAATACCACAAAATAATACACACAGATTAAAAAGTCTATGTGATGATATCGTGTTCATCGCCCGCTTTAAAAGTCTTTGAGCATTTTTTAATTAAAACTTTATATATTAACAAAAATCTGTTGAATGCAATCAACCACAGCCACCTCTAAAAATAACTATTTTTAATATGTTATCGATATTAACAACCTGGTCTTCCGTTATTATTTTTTATTTCGTATCTAAAACAAAAACATTTATTAATTTTCATTTTCTTAGAATGATTTTTCGTGTAACCCATATTTGTAGTATAATCGATTATTTCAGTTGACATAGCTTTTTAATTTCGAAAGTACGCGTATTTTATTCAAATAAAATCAGTTGTAGGGAGCAAGCGGATATTCCTAGAAACGAAATTATCGAACGTTGTGCACTGAATACTGTGTGGCCAAACACGGCCACGTTTCAATTAGAATCCCAATTCGATTTGTGTCCCCTTTCCCAATCCACGCCGTTGTCTATACCTGCAAATAGAAATGTATAGCCTTAGGAAATCGTCCTGAATAAATAGTGACCATTATAATTAAAAACGTGATAGTTGCCACAAATATCCCAAAGGGGTGATTCAAGCGTTTATTAAGATTTACAGCATTTCGTAGTTGGAGAAAAACTAATATAAAGTAATCGTAATATATCATTTTAAAGTATAACGTGATATCAATTATGCGATGTTAACCCCTAATTAGTACAGTCTTTTGATTATAACAAAAGAACCTCAAAAAGATTTCGATAAACAATATCTCATTCGAAAGCTTAATCCGTGGCCAATATGAAACTGGAAATTCGATTTGAAATCACTTTCGAATTTCGATAAAATGCCAAAATATTGGGAAAGAACACGAAAATAATGGCCCACAATAAGAAAAAAATAATTTAGTTAATCTACACGGGATTCTGACATTTTAGAAAAAAAGTTTTAGTATATTAAACATTATTCTTAACAACATTGCTCTTTTACATTTTTGCTCTCAATTGCATAAATATTCAGAAAACGTCAAAAAGGTGAAAATTAGATGAAATCGTGATTTTACATCTTGTTGTTGATACAGTACGAGATTTGGAACGTTCTATAAAAAAAGATTTAACCTTGTTTATAAATATATATCTATAAATAAAGGTTTTAGTATCAAAGTTTTAACAAAGTTTATCCTTAACAATACTGCTCTTTTACATTTTTACTCTCACAATCAGATGCATAATTACCAAGAAAAGTTAGAACAGGTAAAAATTAGATGAAATCGTGATTTTACATCGTAACATCATAAACAGTATACAATAGCTGCTTTTCTAGACATAACGAAAGTCTTTGATTCAGTATGGCTATATGGTTTAAAATACGGGTGATTCTCAACCTATACGCATAAACTTGGGGGTTTATTCCTTGAGACAAATAATGGGTAATAGGTGAAAAAAATTGTAGTAAAATATTTTTAGTTTTATAGTTATATCCGACGACATCTAGATAAGGTACTTCCCGGAAGATGGACAGGTTGAGGTAGCTCATAGGCCATCTCGATCACCCGACCTCAATCTCAGTCTCTCGAAGTTAATACTGAGCAAGGATTGTGAAATCAGATACAAACTGCTGCCGACAATCCACCAATACCCTGGTTTAGGCCGTGCTATCATATCATCTTTAAAGCGTACAGTCTTTGCTTCCAGAAATCATCTTACATAGCAACACCAAACTATCTCATCTGTTTAGAACTGATATCACCATACTTATTTGATCTTCTGCAAAAAACTGTTTACATACATTTGAGTGTGTCGTTTGCTTATGTCTATCTGCTTGTAAGAGTTGCCTGCACAAATGATGCATGGTAAAATTTAGTAACGAGATGAAGAATGACATGTACGGATCACACAATGTTGACGAAAATGTATCAAAGAATCAGGTAGAACTCCGGCGAAAAAACGTCAGGCAGAAAACATAGAAACATTACAAAGTATGTAATGTAAACTATGGTTAGACTATGAACGATTACAAAATCAAGATTGAGTGCTATGCAGACGATGTCGTCCTCTTGGCTGATACTGAGGATGGCATACAGCGATTAACACAGGCATTTAACATTGCAGCTGAGAAAGTGAATACTGAGGAAGTTAATACTAAGCAAGGATTCCGCCAACACCCGATTTAGGCCGCGCTAGTGGGACATCGTGGATTTAGCGACCCCAATTGTGTACAGAAAATATTGGAAACAACTTTGATGTCATTTTAAAATCTTATATGTATTCTTGATTTGAAAGTAAATTTTATGGATATCTAGGAAACTAAAAAACTTTTGCTACAATTTTTTTCACCTATTACTCATTATATTATTTGTCAGGAGGAATAATTCCCCAAGTTTATGCGTATAGGTTGAGAATACCCTGTATAAGATCCATAAAACTAATATTCCTGAATACCTCAAACCCCTAATTTTCTCATTTCTGGATGATAGATCATTTTACGTTAGAGTTAATGCTTATAAATCCGAATCAAAACCCATCAAGGCTGGAGTTCTTCAAGGCAGTATCCTCTCAGCACTGCTATTTAATATCTGTTTACATGACATTCCGATTAATCAAAAAGACCGAAAAGCCTTATTCGCAGATGACATGGTTATAATCACCCAAAACGATAATCTGGAAAAATCCATTCAAGATCTTCAAAACTCGGTTAATGAGATACATAAATGGTTATTGACTTGGTGCTTTCACTTAAATCCAAGTAAATGTGAGGCCAAAATATTTACTCTTAATCAAGTAAAAATCTTACAACAATAATGATCGAAGATCACCCTTTAAACTGGAATCCGAAAGATAGCGCTATCAAATATCTGGGAGTATATTTGGACCAAACATTTACATGATAGTACCATATTAATAAAATATTAAACAAAGCATATGCAAGACTGAAAGATCCTTATCTCATCATCAACAGAAAATCGAAACTGAAGATCGAATGTGCAATGCTACTATACAAATCATGAATAAGACCAGTAATAACCTATGCATGTCCAGTTTGGAGCTCAACAGCTAAATATAATATTTAAAAAATTCAAGTGCTACAAAATAAAATTTTAAAAATGTCTGTATATGCCGCATGGTTTGTCAGAAACTCGCAGATACATGAAGTACGAGGAGTCAAGACGATAACAGAACACATTACTAAAACAACCAAAAAATGCTTACAAGACATAAGTCAAAAGTGTCCAAGTACACAAAACATCAATTGGGAAATATTGGAATCCATAGTCGATTAAAACGGAGACTTCCACAAGACATATTCATAGAAGAAGACTTAGTAGATAGCGAATAGATTCAGGATGACATTTTTAGTTCTTCCGCTATTATTGTATAATTGATTTCAATTGTTATCAAAGCCCTGAAGTAACATTGAATGTTGAACTGGTTGACGCTGTTAATAAAAAAAAGTTGTAGCAAACATTCTTAACAATATTGTTCTTTTACACTTTTGCCCTCAGATGCATTATTATCGAGAAATGTTAGAAAAGGTGAAGTTTCATCTAAATGATGAAATCGTGTTAGGTGAAATAGGTGAAAATTAGATGAAATCATGATTTTACATCTTGTGGTTGGTAGAGCACAGGATTCGAAACGTTTTAGAAAGAAAGTTGTAGTAAACTTTATTCTTAATAACATTGCTCTTTTACACTTTTGCTCTCAGATGCATAAATATTGAGAAAAATGCGAAAAGGAGAAAATTAGATGAAATCGTGATTTTACATTTTGTTGTTGGTATAGAGCACGCGATTCGGGTCGGTTGATAAAAAAATTTGTAGTATAAAAGTTGTAGCAAACTTTATTCTTAACT